AGTGTCCTGTATAGCGTTGGTCGATTATTGTTAATCCATCTACAAAATTTCAACCTATCGATCTCATCTCCAGCATGTAGTCGCTGAACCATTTGAATGTGATATGGGTATAGATTATTTTTTTGTAAGACTCTACTTAATTTTGATTGAGTAACATTGAGTTCTCGACTTACTTGTCTAGTGCTTATTGTAGGGTTCATAGTAACGGCTTCCATAATGTCATCTTCCTGCGCTTCATCTACATGTCGCTCTGTTGTTCCACTAGGAAAAGTGCCATTTTCTCGCAAATAATTAAAAACTGACCCAAATGTTGGATGACTGGGAGTTCGACGATTAGGAAATCTCCTGCGATATTCTCTACTAGCAGCCCTACCATTCCCATTACAGAATCCATAAACAAATATTATGTCTGCATATTCTGTGGTCGAAAACTGATGTGGCATTTTGAACGAAAGTAACAAAAGCTCTACCAAAACTAACACAATGTACTTAACGTAGATATGACAGAAGAAATATGTATTCTTGTACACATAAATAACAATTGATAATGACAATAATGACAATGGGTATAAAATATCAAGATACGTCAAACGGTCAACGCCAACCTTCATTTTAAACTTTTTTAGATTTATTTTTATTTAGTACAGTTGATGCAATGTAATATTATTTGACATAAAATTTTAATCATTTACAATCAACAAAAACTAACACATACAAGAGGTTTGACTTTTTAATCAATTTAATTTATTATTTATCGAAAATAATGCCTTAATACGATCTATGAGTAAAAATTTAAAATTTAAAAACAATTGATTCTATCGTAGAGATAATACAAAGTGACAGTAAAGATGTTAATTTTCTACGTATTAGATTATGTTGTAGGAACTCATTTTAATTAAAATGTTTGAAATTTATAACATTTGTTTAAATTAATTACCTTATAATTTGATACTTCATTATGGTTGTTCTATTTTTGGTAAGATTTGATCGTTCACTAAAAATTTAATAAAAGTGCGACAACATTGTCGCATATGTCGTTTTCATTGGCTATTTATGTAGTTTGAAAATCACTTATTGCGTTTTAAAAAAAATATATGCAGGGTGTAATATTTAATACGAATCCCTAAATTAATTTTTCCAAAGCCAGTCCTGGAATTTTTTAGTTTAGCTAATACCAGTCGAATGCTTGATAGTAGTGTACTGTATCATGCAAAAATAAAAAAAAATCAAATGAGCCGTATAAACACGACAGTAAAATGAAATAAATGGTCAATTACACAAATCACCCTGTTAATTAATACAGAAGAGGAGTTGACATTTTTTAGTGGCCACATGATATGCTCCCTGAGGGACTCTACATATGGTAGAAGTATGTAAAGTTTCTCATGACTCACCCTGTATATTATATATAATTAAGTCTTACCAACCTGCCGGAAAATTATTCAATACAGATCTCGTATGAATTTTATTCTACATATTCGAAAAAACGCGGTAAAGGTCGTGACAAGTGTAATTTAGTGCAACCATAGTGTTGCAAGTTATCTTCGATTTTAGTAGCTGGACATTCGAAGACGATGTGGTTGATTGTTTATTCATCAGCGCTGCATTTGTCACATGCTGAACTGGGGTAGTACACCATTGATTTAGCGATGTGTTAAATTCCATGGCCAACCCGTATTCAGCTAAGATTGCACTATTGATGGCGTGGCAGAGAAAACCGTGTGGCTTGATTGTGGAATTCTCTACCAGATCTGAATTTCGAATATCTTATCTCCATTCGCACATCCAGTACTATGTACTCAAATCGGAAATTTGCCATGTTGCAGCAAATTTCTTGGCGATTGTCTAGATTGTAGATTATAGTTGCATTCAACTTTGAGCTAGCTCATGATAAGGTGAGAACATTTGCATTTGCAATAATTTCGGTTCTTACCGTTTTTAGTCTAAAAGGTGAAAATGGCAGAGATATTGAACACAAGCAGTTCTCCTTTACATTCAAGATGGCAGCTAACCCAATGGTGAGATTCAGTTGCAATTTTAAATTTATAATAATATTGATCATCCTAAAGGTTAAGTTAATAAAATTTGGGGCAGTTCTTCATGCAAGGTTATGCCTTTTTTTCGTCTAAACTGACTGGATAAATATATTTTAAATATTAATAAAATGTACCAGCACAGTCACTTGATTCATTTATTGCAGATATTTATATATTGAAATTTAAAAATTATCATATCGCTTTTAAATATTTATTTCGTTTTTAAAATGCCAGATGTTTTGAAATGTATTCCAAAATATAACATCATTCATTAAGTAATCTACATAAAACCCTGAACTTCTTTAAATAAAAATTGTGTTTGTTTCTTTCTTATATTGGTTCGTTATTGTATGTTGATTATTTTTTATTTTATATTTGCAATCTGTAACGAACTTCGACTTTTTTATTTCATTCCTTATCTCTAATTAGATTAAAAACTAAAGATAAAGCAAAGAAAGTTGGATATCTTTTTTGGATATTGTTCTATTGAAAATAAAGTTTTAGGTCACTTCCGGTATAACCGGAAATAGTTTCCCATATTTAGATAGTGTAAGCTCGTGTAACACCTTGTGTATATATATATATGTTACGAGCAAAGCTCGAAATTGGACAATCCTAGCATTGTACGGAAATTATTGTCCACTTCTAGCATTGTACCCCCAAACTGTACAATGTCCGAAATGACCAAAATTAAAAATGATTATCGAAACGCACACCAAATCAAAAATCGAACAATTTGATCTTTTATATTTATATATTATAGAGTTATTCTTTTTCAAATCAACAATGTGATAAAATGCTAAATCGATATCTGTCATATTCTCCCAAACTTTGATGTATGGCTACTTCTTGAAATTCAAACATTGTACAGCAATTCTTTTATATACAGTCCGCCGATTATGTCTATTTCGGAGATTGTACAGAAAAGGGGTACAATGCTAGAAGTGGACAAGATTTTTCGTAAAATGCTAGGATTCTTCAATTTCGGACATTGCTCGTAACATATATATTTACAAGAAGATCTGCTTAAGATGAAAAAGTAAAATAGAAGTTCTGAATTTTCCTTTTTTAACAGAAGCACAATAATGAAAGTAATTAAAGTCTATTTACCGCTCCAATGGGATTCGGAGCCTTATTTGAGGCTGTCCTGTAGGCGTCAGAAAAGGAGCATTCGCACCTTTGCGAAGTCTTCATCAGCTCGATGTATTTCGCTATGTTCAGAGCGTAGGTCACCACCGACTGGAAAACTTTATTTAGCACCCTTCTTTCGGTGCTACCTGGGCCTCCAATCAACGGTAACAACGTCTCCAGACTTCGGTTTGCCTTCTTCACCGTCTTTTGGACGTATACTCCGAACCTCAGTCCTTTCGACAGCCAGACTCCGAAATACTTTTTTACGAAAAAGATTTTTCCGGTGCAACCTCCACGCTTTCCACTATAAAACGAAGAAAGGATTTGTCCTGACTACCTTTGAGAACTACCACCTTAGTTTTCTGAGGTGCTAGCTGTAGATCGTTCTCTCTGATCCACCTACTAATAAGACGCAGGGTTATGTTAGTCTCATTAGCCATCGTCCAGTTCTCTCAGCTTGGACATGTTTTTTCCCATGATGCTATGTTAAAGACATTCTTGACGGCAAGCAGGATAAGAGTCACCTACCTCTTTGTATCTTGCGTGAATAAAGAGGTCATATTGCTCAGCGCATGCTTTTCTTTAAGCTCTCGCTCAAGGTGGCCTTTCAAAAGCTGTTCGTACAATTTAGCAACCCAAATAATAAGGCAAATTAGTCGAAAGCGCACCTCTTTTTTGTTTAGAGAAAACTTGGCTAAACGCAAATCATACCTTTTCAAAAGTTCCCTTCAAGCCTTTCCAGAAGGATATTCTACTGGTTTAAATGCTCCCGCAGGAACGAATCGAAGAATAATAATCATGCAAATTGGTAGCGAACATGGTTTTGTGGAGAATGGTTTATTTGAGTTATTTAAAAATACACTAAATATTACCACGAAGAAATGAACTCCGATGTTTTGACGATTACTTTTCTCAGGTATTGAATTTTCAATCAAATTATGCTGTCGTTGTTTTCGATAACGCCAGCTATCATTCAAAATTAGTGGAAAAGTTACCGACAGTCTCATGGAAAAAAGAAGGTATAATTGACTGGCTCCAACGCAAAACAATACCGTATGATCAGACTATGTTTAAAACGGAATTACTACGAATAGCAAGGCAACATAAATCGTACAATGAAAAATATGTCATTGACGAAATGGCAAAACGGTACTACATTTGCCACCTTACTATTGTCAACTAAATCCAATAGAGTTATATAGGCAAGTAAAAGGCGAAGTGGCCAGGCACAATACAACTTTTAAATTGAAGGATATCAAACAAATTTTATTAAATTCCATAAAAAACGTGGGTAACGAAAGGTAACTGGACCAATGCAGTAAACCACAAAAAAAGAGGAAAAAAGATTGTGGACTGTTGGTAATAACATTGAAGAGCTTTGTCAATCTATAATCATTCTGACTCATAATGACTATAATCAGAAAACGAATCTGACACAGAAGAAGAGGAAGAGATGAAAATTCATAATTTCTAACTAAATCAATAAGTTTTTAATTAATTTACATTCCTTAAATGTTAGATATTAATATGATGTATTCGCTTTAACATTAATTTTATTGAACATATAAATATGTCCCTTTTTGATTCTCCAACTCTGCCCACGATCTTTCCAGTCTGACCAATGTACCTGCTGTTTGCAGATAAGTGAAGATTTGGATTTGTAATGACCTGCCAATTGAAAACAAATAAAGTAATGCTTTAAGACTACATTGAGTACAAAATCTATGGAAAAACAGTCAATGACTAGTTCAAAAACTATTCCTCTTTATATTCATATAAATGTTATTTTTTAATTACTTTATTTCAATATTAATGAATTTTTTTTTGTTTCAGTGTGGCTACAATATCTTCGGAGCATAATGAAAAATGGATATGTACTTTGGAACGACTCTAGTCATACTCTTATTGATAAAAAATGGTATTTCAACACCAGTGGTGGAGTACGATAAAATGTCTAAATATGAAGAATATATTGTCGAACATGAGATTTCCAGCGGACAAGCTAGAAACAGTGTTTTAAGTATAGACTTAAAATCAAGTAAGTACATGATCTATTTGCGTCCATTGTTATTCGTTTCTCAAATTTTTGTTTTTCACATCCACCTTTTGTATTTTTGTGATGGTATTAACATGCAGGAGCACAAATAGTCATACACCCGCCTAGCGTGTTCAAATAATTTCTTTCGGACAATATTCTTTCATGAATTCTTTCTCTCTGTTAATGTTATATACCGGGTAGTGAATCGCCAAACGGACCATAGGAAACCCAATTGGAAGTTCTAAATTGTTGAATTCCTGCTTCCCTAATTATTTTACATCAAAAGTCATAAGAAACTATTTGTAGAGGACTGAATAAAAACGAATGATATATTTGTTCTGCAAATTAAGCGTACTCCAAAATTTTGCAAAAATATAATACATTTTTCAGGCTACCCCTTAAAGTCAGGCTACACGCGGTACAAGAATGTGTATGACACGTTGCGTTTAGTCATATTGATTAATACCTTATGTGCGTTCTTATGTTCTAAATATGTGTTAGGAACTGTCATTTATGTTTCTAAATTTATCAGCATAGTCCATTATTGCTACTGTTTTTATGTAAGCCACATCTTTCTGTAGTGGGGATGAAAACCCGTTTATATCCTATTCTCGTATGCATGTCACCTAGCAATATTTTAATGTCATGCCTGGGACATCGTTTAAGAACGGTTCTATTTCGTTTCTGGTTTGTTATCAGGAGAAACACTCGCTTTAATCAAACTGTAATTAAAGAAGTTACGTTTTAAACGTAAGTAGTACGTTCTTTAGTTCTAAGCTTTAAAATTATTAAAAATGTCTCTTGTTCTCTCATTTACAATGAATCTGACTTCATGTGTGTCTTTCATTGCAGGTATAATGCGTGGTATAGGTTCTATTTTTCAGGAGAGCAGTTCTCATCCAACATATTTCCTACAGTGCCAAATCTTCTATGTAATTGGTGGACCGGACGGTCAGCTTATGAATTGACAGACAGTGTTTTTTTCCTCAAAAGCTGACCATAATAAGCATCGAGCCCATGCCTGGCATAACTTGGCCTCAATGTTGACGAATTCGAGGTTGAGCTCCTTGTAGTACTTGAAACATAAAATTATTAGTGAAAATTTTGCTGTCTACTTTTGAATCACGAAATACAAACAATGATTAGTAATGCAAAGTAGAAATCTTAACCTAGAGTTTTTCTTTAGATTTTTTTCTTCGCTAACCTAACCAAACCTATCTTAACTATCTCATAATTCACTTCACTAGTCGGGACCGTACATGTCTTTCTTACCTCATACTTAGGTTTGGGTAATTAGTACCGTAATTAGTTGGGTTAAATATGACTGTTTAGGATCCGGTTCATTTTGTTGACCATCTCCTGAAACTATGCCACTTTTTTCATTAGTGCTCTCATGGCGACTTGTTGTACATCCACTTGGACGATTTTCCTAGCTTGTGTTTGGCTTCTTTTTAGGACTTTTGGACTCCCTGTAGCTTGCTATGCGCTCACCTTGGCAGTTCACATATGTTGGATTTGTGCCTTTTTCCACTTCGCTTTTGTGACTTTTGCCGCATTTTACACATCTAGTTTAAATCAGTTTAATACCAGCTATAACCTAATTGTTGTGAGTTGGCTATCATGTTGGCTATACTAATTTTGCTAACGGCAACTCGAAAAAGCGATGCAGAGGATCTATTAAACCATTCCCTTCGGTTTGTAAGCCATGAAATTTTTCTTCGATCTGTCCATCTTCTTCTATTTATTTTGCCTTGTATTATTAAATAAAGTATATTTTATCTCTGGGTGACACATCTTCATCATCAACTAGCCTCTAACTTCCACTGCTGAACCTCCATAGACCTCCACTTAGTCCGGTTTTGCGCCTTCTGAATTCAATTTATAGTCACTCCTTTTATGTCATCTGTCTATCTCGTTGGGGGGTCGACCTCTATTTCTGTAAGCTTGTATTCGGGGTCTCCATTTCAAAATTCTTTTTGTTCACCGGTCATCAACTGATCTTGCTACATGACCTGCCCAGTTTCACTTTAGTGTTGTTATCCTTTCAATAACGTCTGCTTCTCTTGATCTTTTGACAGGGTGACACATAACATGGCCAAAATATTCCAGTTTGCGGTGTTTTACTAACCACTTCAGTAACTTTTCCCATCCGATGCAAAACAACTTCATTACGAACTTTATCTACCCAACTTATTCGCAGGATCCACCGATACACCCAGCTTTTAAAGTTTTCCAGTTTTCTGTAAAATGTATCCATCCAGGTGCATCCTTCCACTCCGTATAAAAGAGTAGAGAATACCTAACATTTTACTAATCAAATTTTCAGCCTCAAAGTGATACTGTTTCTACATAAAATTTTCTTCATATTAAAAAATGCTGTTCTGGTCTTTTCTATACGTATTGTAATTTCTTTGCTCATGTCCTAGTTCTCATTTAGATAATGATCAAGGTAAATAACATTGTTGGTTCTTTCAAGTTGTTTTTCATAAGCTGTTACCACAAAACGATCACGTTTGTCCTTGTGGTTTATAGCTTCAATCCATATTCATCACAGGCTGTGGTAATCATATCAGTTAGATATTGAAGTTGTTGGTAACTACTTGCAATTAACACCGTGTCATCCGCGTATTTCAAATTATCAATATTGATGCCGTTAATTTTGATGATACACACTGAACAGTATTCAATACTTTACTGAAAACAAATTTAGAATAAAAAATTTTAAATATTAGTAAAGACACAATGCAGACTTGCTTTAACCCTCTTCGTATTTGCACCTCTTCAGAATTATCACTACCAATACTTATGTTTGCCTGATAATCAGTACATATTTGCTGAGGAATGACTATCATTTCAGTATGTATTACTTGATCAGAAGCCTTATCAAAATCAATAAAACACATATAAACCAAATGGACGATATCTCTGTATCTTTGTACCGTAACCTGAATACTAATGTTGCTTCTATGGTTCCAAGGTTATTGCCGAAGCCAAACTATATATTGTTGCAATTTGGGTTATTGTATATTTTGGTACATTTTTGAGTACAAAATTCAATGAAATATTTTTAGAGCATGGCTCTTCAAGCTGATGATTCGGTAATCACTACATCTTTGTGCATGTGCTTTCTTAAGTATCATCACAAAAGTCGACATCAGCCAATCCGTTGATAAATCTTCTCTTCTTCAAGTGCCCTCTCCGCTACGGAGTTTGGCAATCATAACTGCTATTCTTATTTTTGAAGCTGTTGCTTTAAATAATTGGTTAGATGTACACTGGAAGCAGTCTCTAAATTGCGCAACCAAGATATACGTCGTCTCCCCACGCTTCGTTTGCTCTGAATCTTTCCTTGGATAATTAATGGAGCAATCGGTACTTTTACCCTCTCATCACATGACCAAGATATTCCAGCTTTCTTCTGTTGATATATAGCCAGTCTCATATATTCTTGTCTTGTCGCGCAGTCTTTTCCGGATCCCTGGAAAATCTCGAGGCTCGTGCTCCTGCCTAAATTCAAGGCAGGAAAATATCGTCCTATTTGCCTTCTTCCTTGTATCGGAAAGCTATATGAGAGAATGTTACGTTCGCGTATCGAGGAGGTGATTGTGATCTCTGGAGGCCTGTCTCCGAGACAATATGGTTTCAGCAAGGGTAAAAGTTTAGTGGATGCGGTGACCGATGTGCTCCGGGCGGCACGGGGAATTGGGGGTGATCATCGATGGGTCATCCTAGTTCTCTTTGACGTCCGAAATGCTTTTAATACATTGCAGTGGGGTCACGTAATGAGCTCTTTGGAAGCAAGGAACTGTCCTGAGTATCTGAGGAATGTGGTCGCTGATTATCTTTCCGAGAGGAAGATTGTGGTGGAAAATGGTGTGATGGTGGATGTAACGGCTGGGGTCCCGCAGGGCTCCGTCCTGGGTCCAACGCTGTGGAACCTGGCATATGACGGGGTCTTAAATTGCGAATATGGGGAGGGTGTGACCCCCTTTGCATTCGCGGACGACCTTGCTATACTGGTGGCTGCACGGGACAGGGAGGAACTCTTGCTTCGAATTACGCGTGGGTGTGTTCTAGTTGAGGATTGGATGAGTGAGCATGATCTTTCTCTCGCGGAGGATAAGACGGAGGCTGTAGTACTCAGAGGCTACAGAAAGAGAGATAGGGTGGAATTTGAGTGCGCGGGAGCGAGAGTGACGCCCAAAAAGTACGTTAAGTATTTGGGAGTTACTCTCTACCAGAGTGGGAGCTGGGGGGAACATTTGAGGGAGGCGACCCGCAGAGCTGTTCAGAGAATGGCTGCGCTGGGGAGGATAATGCCTAATATCGGTGGTCCCAAATCCGAAAGGAGAAGGGTGCTCCACGGTGTTGTGCAGTCTGTCGTCCTCTACGCGGTCCCAGTCTGGAGTGACGCGGTAGAAATACCAACTTACAAGAGGCTCATGGTACGCGTGGACAGAACTAGTCTGCTGCGGGTAGCATGTGCCTACAGGACTGTGTCAGCTACCGCTCTGTGTGTTATCACCGGCTGTGTTCCTTTACATGTGCTGGCAGGTGAAAGGGCAAGGATTTACAGTCGTAGGGGGCGGAACATTGGAGAGCGAGAAATGAATGAGATAAGACTGGCCGAGAGATTAGTTTCAATCGGACAGTGGCAACAAGAGTAGGAGGCAACACGTGATGTGGCGGAGTGGACGAAGTCACTAATCCCGAACCTTCGAAGCTGGGTGGACTGTGGGCATAGGCAGCTGGATTACTATCTAACGCAAATGCTCACAGGCCATGGCTGCTTCCGCAGCTACCTTTTCAGGTTTAGGAGGGCTCAGTCCGATCAGTGCCTTTACTGTGGTTTCTCGGACACTGTGACATACACGATGTTGAAGTGTGAGCATTGGGCGGATGAAAGAGAGAAGTTTGTAAGAGAGTGTAACTGCAGAATGTTTGATTCCGTGAGAGAAATGGTGGAGAAAATGATGAGGGATAAGTGGTGGTGGACACGGATCCACAAATTTGTCAGGGAGCTGCTGTCCTCAAAAGAACGAGAAGAGAGGGAACTCGCAACAGAATTTTAAGACAAGCGAGTAGCACCTTGGTAGGGTTCGGACTGTCGAAGGCCGAACTAAGAGTGAGTAAGAGACAGACGACGCGAGAGAGATGGCAGCCTCGCTAAGGCAGGGGGTTGAAAGTCCTTGGTGGTTCGTGTGGGTGTGGTTTCCTGGATGAATGTGTCGGAGAAAGAATGGGAATCGGGTGATAGCAGGGCATCGGGAGAGATGTATGCCTTAACTGGCCCTTCCATCCTGATGTCTGGTGTGACAGAGGAGAGGTTTTTAGTTGGACGCCGACCGTCTCGGAGTGGTGACGGGGCGAGGTGTCAAGGGTCTAAATTCCTTAGGCATCTCGCCCCTGCATAACTTCGCTAGGGTATTAGGAACCCAACACTACCTGTGTGAGTCACATGTGTCTGTATGCAGATTTTCCTTCTTCTCTTTAAAGATGTAAAAAAAGTCTCATATATATATATATATATATATATATATATATATATATATATATATATTTTAAATACATAAGGTGTAATGTAATAGTATAAAATGTAAAGATGTTCAAAAATATGTATATAGTTTTATCCATTTGATTGTGAATAACGTTATTTGTGTACATTTTTAATTTTCTAGCGAGTCACATATTTATTGATCTTGTTTTGGCTATAATTTTAGCGACTTTGGGTACACGAAACGTTTCCAAAGGGCAGGGGTGAATACCCAATTCAGCCTTGCGTGATAAGATTTTATAGCCCGCTGATATTTCCTTAAGACACATAATTTATTCATACACTTTAATATTGATTACTTTTTATACTTCCTTAAACTGATAATATTTATTCTACTTAATGCGATGAAAATATTTTTAATTACACGTAAGGGTTGCTATTATTTCGAATATAGTTGCAATTATTTTACAATTCAACTCTTTCATTAACATACTTATTTGTTCAAAAAATATTTACTTGTGGGATTTTAGAATTAGAATTTTTTTATTCGGTATAAGATAAAAGTATCACTGAATTCTGGTTTTTGCTGAGTATCTAGTATTATTTTAAAGTGACAAACTTGATGTCTATTAAATAAGTTTTGAACATGTTGGTATTTATGACTTTATTACATCAATTAAACTGTGCCTGTGATGCGTCGTTCTGTCGTTCATACATAAATACTAATAAAAACAATTTATTAATAAAGTGGACCGTTGTTTGACCATTTAGAAAATCCCATAAAACAAAGAAATCATTATTTTCAATATTAAGGAAACGACAGTGTTTTATTAGAAAATGTTTTAACACTACCACACAAATTGGCAAGTCCTTGAGTGTAATTGGACAGAATAGTTTGTGCTCCCTTTAATTGATCGCGTGAGTCATAGAACGAGTGGTGGTTACGCCTATATAATAATTATAAAAAATACTCTAAGAATTTCTTAATGGGACAATTTAGACGAAAGTACCTAAACAATCTAAGCATTTATCAAGATTACTAGAGAAATCAGACCAGTTAGCTTTCCTGAAATTCCATCTGGGACGTGGAAACGATCTTATAATTGGAATGGTAATTTTTTACCGATTTTAATGAAAATGGGGTGGTGTTGGCAATGACCAAAAGGGACAAGCTATTTTTGTCATTTTAGAGTACTTCCACATCTCATGGTGACTGTTAAAATTCTCTATGTATATGGCTAGGTAGGAAATAAGAACATGTGTAGGCCAGGTCAGGAAGCGCTCCTAGAGCAAAACATTGATATGAACATTAACGGAGAGTTAATTAACAATATACGATACGCTGATGACACGCTAATAGTAACAGATAACCTAGCAAATTTACAGTTTTTGATGGAAAACATAAACACTCATACCAATAAGTATGGTCTAAAACTGAACATCAAAAAGACTAAATTCATGATTGTAACAAAGAAGCTATACACCAATGTGAATTTAACCATAAATAATCAGCCAGTTAAAAGAGTTACGTCCTACAAATATTTAGGGGTTTACTTCACTGATACTAATGACCAGACAAGAGAAATCAAGAGGCGGATAGAGATAGCGAGACAATCGTTTGTCAAAATGAAAAAGTTCCTATGCAGCCGGGACATAAATATAAACTTAAGAACGAGAATGTTAAGGTGCTACATTTTCGCCGTTCTGCTGTACGGCATGGAAGCCTGGACACTGAAAAAGATAAACATCAAAAACATTGAGACATTCGAGATGTAGTGTTACAGGAGAATGTGGAAAATACCATGGACAGAAAGAGTAACAAATCAAGATGTTCTGCTGAAGGAATGCGAAGTCATAAAAACCATACAAACGAAAAAACTGGAATATCTGGGCCACATAATGAGAGGAGAAAAGTACTCTCTGCTTAGGCTCATAATCCAAGGAAAAATCTCGGAAAAGAGAAATGTGGGACGTAGGAGGATTTCCTGGTTGCGAAATTTAAGGGAGTGGTATGGGTGCAGTTCAATACAGTTGTTCAGAGCTACAGCCAACAAAGTAAAGATTGCTGTGATGGTAGCCAACCTCCGATAGGAGACGGTACTGAAAAAAGAAGAAGTAGGCCAAGTAAGAGGGGCTTATAAATATTGGCTATTGTGATATCGCCGATTTTCACAGTTACCTCGTGAATGTTGTTCTTGGAAGAAGTCTAAATTAAGGCTGCATTTTCTATGTTTGTGCGTACATAGGTTGCTACACCGTATGCTCTATCGTAGGTAGCCCCAAGTAGATAATGGCCTGGGAGTTTTCCTCTTGAACTCAATTGGACTTCGTTTTCTGTATGTTGTTTGTATTGCGATCTGGTCAGTATCAGTTTTCTTTTAATAATTTGTGCAGAATTTGGCTTTTTGCTTTACTTATGCTTTATGGATTTTATATTAAGTTGGGAAACTTGTACACAGGGTCCAAAATATTTTGTTAATTGGTCTTAAGAAGGTCCATTTGTTAGCAGGGTCATCTTTATTAACTTTGAGAATTGTGATTTCTATCAGAAAACTTTTCTGAGAACTCTGATCTAATTTTACTATTTTTAATTTATTAGTAAGGCTACACCTTTATTGGCCCTGTTTTCTTTTGCTATTTCACTAAAGATTAGTATGTATGCACCTTACTTTAATGGTCATTTTCCTTTCTTTTTGTTTCCTGTAGAGCGCATATCTCTAATGTTCGATGTAGTAACTCTCAGCTGGGTTTTGGTAATTTTTCTCTTGTTTTCATTTCTTGCCGTGTTCGTCTCCATATTATTTGTCCGGTTTCAAGACTTCACATTGTTTCTTTGAGCAGCAGTATTCGTTTTACGATTGGTAGGTTGCTAACTTTGCCGATCACATTTTATCCGGTCTTGAGACCGGCTGTGGTAATCGCAGATCTACTAGATTAGACTAGATTACCCCAGGCAGTGTTATATAAAAATATCTTAATTATACAGTTTTACATATCTGTACTAAACTATACTTTTTTCAGTCGTTATTCCACCTGGCTGTCAGAAATGTAACGAAGAAGAAAAGCGTTACTGTTTGGGAGCAGGTCTCATACGTGATCATTGTTGTTGTGATAAAAGGCACCATGGTAAGTATTTATTTTAATAAAAGTACATGTTAAATTTATTTTAAGGTTTGAATTTTATACCAAAAAGATGCAAAAGTCGATAATAATTCTTTCAATAACTCGTGTTCAAGAATTTTTATATTGTATCCAACATAATGTAATAAAGACTAGAAGCCCATGGGATATTTTTAAAGAAGTCTTTAAAGGGGTATTATCTTGATAAATTTCATTACCAAGAAATTTATCAAGATAATAGACCTTCTCAAAAGTGCGTATTTTCGCTTTTTTAAGATTTTAAATTGTTAATAACTTTAAAACTATTAACTTTAGAGAAAAATGACATTTTTTATTTAGAATGACCCAAGAAACCTAAAATAAATATTTTTAGGGCAAAAACCGGTTATGACCAAAAATTTTGCCCGGCACCCTTCTGAATTTTTTTAACCCTTTGACGACTGTCGGTATGCTGAGATGACCACCTTTACAAACATTTCTTTTAAATTTTCAAGTGGTTTTACAGTCATACCAGTGACTGTACATACCAAAATTAAAGTTATGTAACACAAACAAATGAATTTATTGAAACTTTAGACCCAAACGTTCCAAATTCTGCAGAGAACCCCATAGATGTGTTTTTGGAACTATTTCCTGATAATCTAATTCACCCAGTTGTATTTCAAACCAATCTATATTACGTTCAAAAACACGAAGGAGGAAATGGACTTACACCTACCACAGAAGGCGAAGTCAAAACATTTCTTAGAGTAAATTTATTAATGGTTATAAAGGAAATACCCAGTTGCAGAGATTATTGGTCGTCACGTGATGAATTACGAGACCCTTTCATCAGTTCTGCTATGTCGCATAACAGATTCGCTTGGTTACTAGGCAATTTTAATTTTCTATATCTGGTTGATAATACAGTGCAGCCAGAAAAAACTGATCCCGGATTTGACAAACTTTACAAAGTGCGAACTCTACTGCCAAAATCACGGAAAGGTTTCCTGCAGCACTGAATACACATGAGTTTCAAGCAATAGATGAGTCTAGAATACGATTCAAAGGTCGAAGCAGTATCGACAGTACATGCCCAATGAACTTATAAAACGTGGCTACAAAGTATAGGTTAGAGCAGAAATAAGCGGATTCATGTGCGACTTCCAGATATATACCGGTAAAGTGGGAAAAAACTTGGGACGAGTCGTACAGGACCTAACAAGGGCCTTAGTAAATAAACACCACCGAGTGTTCTTTGATAGCTATTTCAACTGTATTGATCTTCAGAGATAAGGCTACTGTATTGATCTTCAAACAAATAAATCGGGGGGATTCAGATTACCGTATTTTAACAGATGGACTCTCTGAGTTAAAGTGGATGGATCGCAGAAGTGTGATTCTTTTAGTAAATCACCAAAATCCAGCAACAAAGAAGTTATAAAGAGAAGACGATACTCTGAATGATGTTTCATGTTTCATGTTGACAAATTTGACATGCTAAAAAGTGTTTATAAGGTGGAGATTGTGGATTCTTGCGTCGTAAACGCATTCATTCTATTTTAACTTAGAAGCCAATTCAAAAGTATGTCTTTGAAACAATTCCGGCTCTCTGTAATTAGAGGTTTTATTGGAGCTCCAGAACAATTAAAAAGGGGAAGACTATCAGCAGAAAAACCAGTGAGTAAATTCAAAAGGCATATTCCCTTGAAACTGCGCCACTCAAAGTCTTCTCATATGCCCCAAAGAACTACTTCTTTGAGATGTGCCAATTGCAGCACGACAGCAAATGTTAGCAGAACACAGTGAAAATGTTCATCTTGCAATGTCGGACTTTGTCTTAAACACGACAAAAATTGTTTTGCAACGTTTCGTGCAAAACAATACAAAGAATAGAAAGCAAGAACTGCTACCTGGTTTTAATTTCTCATTTAATTTTTTGTTACGCTATGTTCCTGCTGGTATCTTAAGAATACCACATCCTGCAGGATATACTTTAGGGTCAATATTGTTTATTTTGACTGAATTTGTTTTAAAAATATACTAAAATTAATAAATTTAACAAAAATCCTGTTTTTTAAACAAAACAAATCAGAAACATATTTACAAAATAGGTCAATGCCATACAGAAATTTTTGATCGTAATATCCCACTTATCAGAGGAAAATTTATTTTTCTTTCATAAGCACATTTACCGTGAAAAATGATATTATTGTATGCAACTAATTTAAATCAGGTTTAAATTGTTTTTTTAATTGTTTAATATTAGGTTAAGGTTACACAGTTACACCACGTTTTTCAGCAATTAACCTCAATGTTTTCTTTTCGATATATCGTTATTTACGACATAAAATTGGAAATAAAAGTTCGTTTACTAAAATGCTACGTATTTTTCGTTCTTTTATATGACGTAGAGTCATGGACCTTAACCGAAGCATCACTGAAGAGACTCGAAGCATTTGAGATGTGGTGCTATAGACGCATGCTAAGGATTTCCTGAATAGACAGAATTACCAACGAAGAAGTACTACATAGAAAGGGTAAAGAGCGTGAACTAGTCGTAACCATAAAACGTCGCAAACTAGACTACCTGGGCCATATATTGCGCAATGAATAACGATACGACCTACTTCGGAACATACTTTAAGGTAAAGTGCATGGGAAAAGAGGTCTAGGACGGAGAAGAATATCCTGGCTGCATAACCTGCGAAAGTGGTTTAAATTAACCACTGCCGAACTTTTCAGGGCAGCAGTCAAAGTCAGAATAGCCACGTTAGTGTCAAACATCCGTAATGGATAGGCACCATAAGAAGAAGAAGAATATCGTTATTACCGCTATTCAGGTTCGATGTTACCATCGATGCTCAACATCGATGTTTTTTACCGATGTCGCATCCCTAACTGGTAGTCTAATAGAACGACAAACACGCGGACATAAGACAAGCATTTAGCCTTAATGTATATTACAGGAGGTCTATGTTTAGCAGGCGATGGTATAGGCTATGTGATGATGATTAAAAGAATCATTAAAATGTAATGTCTTTTAAAATGCTATGTTAATCAATTCCCTTTTCACACACATTTGCAAAACACTCTCGATTATTTCCTTCTGGCATTTTTGACTCAATTGAATTTATAGTTCAAGCATTGTAAGAATTCAATATTTTCGTTTCAATTTGAACATGTAGGCGTGTATAATTATCACACAATAGAGTTAGCGTAAATAATATCCGTGCAGTTAGTAAAACTAATCTTGCAGTTGATTAACCTTAATTACCAGAGGGCACTAGACTCAGTAAAGTATGTATTAACATTAATTATTTTCTCGTCACTTCTAGTGGTATTAATATACAGGAGGTGATGTATGAGTAACATTTAATATTACATAATAGATCTTTTCATCCCATATCCCCTATTTATTATTGTTTCCGTTAAAAAATCTACTTGAAATGCGAACTTTTTTATTCATTTATTCATATAAGCTGCATGCCTTGTAGATGTATAGTTAATTATTTTTCCTCTTCTTTTCTCCTCTTCTAGTACGGTAGTACGTCTTAATAGTTCCACTGTATTTGATTACTTCCTGCCCAATAGGTCTTACTCTTTTTTTAAACCATTCTCGCATTCTCGTAAGTGACGGTCTTTCTTTTGGCCCTTTTTAAGGTTTTCGAGGAAAGTTAGAAATCATTATTTTCCTCCTGTTTAACTGTGGTCCTCGGGAGACTTACTTCTTCGGTTATATTCTCTTTTTATTTAAGCTGGCACTGACTTTGAACTGGTAATTCGTTCAAAGCATCTTGGAATTCTTGTAATTATTCATTGTGCAAAACTGACACCTCTTCTCCTAATTTTTTCATTTCATTTTTACTAATCGCTAGTTGCTCCTTAAAATGTGCAACTTTAGGTTCCAGAGAATTTTAAATTTCAAAAATGAAATTTGTTTTTTAAAAAATATTTTTATTTCTAAGCTACAAATAAATACATCTAAACTGAACAAGACCAAGAATAATAATGAATTTACAATGCGAATAATTAAAGAAACAATATGATAACTTCTAGGGGAAACTGCAGAGTAAGCTGCAGGTGTTGGTTGCGATTCTGCCAGGTCCGGACTTTCGTACCATGTAACTCCTCCATCCTTAAGAGGAAAAAATAACGGAGGTATTTTTGGATTCCAAATTTTGGGGACATCTTTCTTCCAATGGAATTTCGTCAGGAACCTTCTTATTTTTGCAATACTTTCGGTATCTGGTGATGATGTAAATTATAACGATTAGTATTAATATAGATAAGATGACTGAACCGGTGCTGATAAAGGGTGTAGTAGGAAAGCCAATTTCTTCTACTGGTGAAAGATTTCTGGTAATTCTGTTAATTTCGTATAGTCCTTCCATATCGATTTTGCTCAAATTGGTTACTTGATATTTTACCTTTTCAGTCGAGAGATTTTCTAGTTTTGGTAATATTATGATTTTTCCAGATTGGATTCGTGGGTTGTTTGAAAATTTTAAGGTTCCAACTTCTATTTCACATTTTGGTGGGATTTCTATTAACGAAGGATCTTTTATTTCCAAAAACGAATTGGACTCACATTTTGAGATTAATTTGACAGTACTGGATGGGATTATTAAGATCTGGTTCTCCATGACGTGCTCGATAATGGGTTCTTGTAGATTTATTTCAGTGGCGTAGCATTTCTCTGGGTTACGTCCATCAATTAATTTATAGGTGCAGGTATCTATTTGGGTGTAGTCCTGTTGGCAGTAGTATCTGGTTTCGAGGATGGGACATTCTTCTTTTATCGATAGTGATTTTTCTCCTTTTGCCAAGTAGGGATATAAAGGAATATATGTTTGATGATTTTGTATTACGGGGTAAACATGGAAAAAATCGTAATTTTCTGATTTGAATATAGGAACATGGATAGCGAATATAAGCTTGGATTCGTAAAAGGTTACTTGGGTACTGAGAAACAAATAGTATGTTAGGGCATTGTTAAATTTTGCGATTTGTTCTTCTTTGTATAT